ATATATAATTATCCCAAGATTTATTGCCAAAGAAGAGACTTGTGTGTAAACTGTTTGTAAAAGTTCAAACAAGCCACTAACAAAATGTATTCAACTATAGTACAATAAAATAACCCACATTTTACACGATGGTCTCCATCTCCCTCACCTCTGGATGATAAGGATGTAGAGCAGTATTATAAATATGTTGGCTTCCAGATTTAGAGAGGAAAGATAGTGGCTAGAGAAGGAGAAGAGATGGCATAACAAAGAAAAGAAATCTGTGTGGCTCAGAAAAAAAGAGAAAATCCGAACTTTCTTAGCCATTTTTTTTTTTTAGACAGGGTCTTCCATGTAGTCCAGGCTTGTTCTGAATGCACTATGGAGTCCAGGCAGGCCTCAAACTTGTGAAGATCCTCCTGCCTCAGCCTCCCAAGTGGGGGGATTATAGGTGTACACCATCACTCCTGCCTGAACTTTCTGAGCTTTTAACATCTTTATGAGACTATGAGACATTTGTCATTTTTATTTTTCACTTTTAATTTACTATCATTTTAATTTAGTTATTAACTGATATATCAAAACCTAAAATGTACATATCAATGGAATATCACATTACATTCCAATCCATGTTTAAAACAGGGCAAAAGTATTTGTTTCCTTAAACATTAACAATTTCTTTATGGTTAAATCTTTCAAAATCCTTTCTTCTATCTTGTTGAAATGTACAGCATATTACTGTTAGCTTTAGTCACCTGACTGTACAGTCTCACACTAGGATGTCTGGCTTCTCTCTAAGTGTAACTTAAAAACCTTTCCCATTCCCACATTACCTTCACTCTGCCAGCCTTTAAAAACCATTTTTATTTTCCCAACTTCTATGAGTTCAAATTTTTAGATTCGGTGAGATCATACAGTATTTGTATTTCTGTTGCCTGGCTTATTTTACTTAATATAATAATCTTGAGTTCCATCTGTATTGTCACAAATGGCAAGACTCCATTCTTTTTATGGCTGAATAGCTCTAGCATGCACATTTTCTTTATCAATTTATTGACACGATTACTGAGATTGTTCCCATTTCTTGGCTTTGTGACTAATGCTACAATGAATATGGTAGTACAGATGACTCTTCTATATATTTCTTTAATTTTCTTTGATGTATACTTATATGTAATTGCTAGATCTTATGATGCTTATATTTTTTGAGGAATTTCCATATGGTTATCAATAATGGCTACATGAATTTCCACTCTCATTAAGCTTGCATGGGTATCCTTCTCTCCACATCCTCATCAGCACTTATTATCGCTAGTCTTTTTTTTTTTTTGGTACCAGGGATGGAACTTGGGACCTTGTGCTTGCAAGGAAGGTGGGTGATGGAACCACTGAGCTAAATCCCTGGCCCTATAGTCTTTCTGATAATAACCTTCACTACAGGGATGAGTTGATATCTCAATATGGCTTTGATTTGAATATCATTGATTATTATTGTGTTGTCCTTACTTTGAGCCTTAGAATCTGTCCAGATTACATATTCAGGATTTTTTTTCATCAGTACACATAAATTGTTTTGTCTTACTATAAGCAATGATGCCTACACTTATAATGTACACAGTTATTCCTTTGTATTCATAGGGAATGGGTTCCCAGACACCTTGTATACCTAAAACTGTAGACACTCAAGTTTGTGGTATAAAGTTGTACAGTATTTGCACATGACATATGTCCATCCTGTGTACTTTCAACAATGTTATATTGCATACATGTTCTATAAATAATCGTTATACTGCATGATTCAAGAAATAAGGACAAGAAAAAAATCTGTATATGTTAAAGTGCATTTTTTTCAATAGCTTTAATCCCAAGGGAGTTGAATCCATGAAGGTCCAAACTGCAGATACAAAGGACCAACAATATATACATTTTCTCTAAAATTTATCTGATAGAAATCAGAGAAGTGATATGCCCCCCTATCTGAGGGGTAGATAGCCCTCAGCATGACCTTGCTTGGAAACTCTGACCTCCTTGTTCTAGAGAAGTTTAGACGTGTTCTTCTGCAATGCTGCTGAGTGCTCTGTCTAAGCAAAGTGATGAGAGCCATGACGAGAACCTTAAGAAATGAGAAAGGGAGTTTTATGAATGAGTTTTCTAGGAGAAGGAAGAAGAGGGCAAACTTTTAATTCAGCAAGTCCTCAAATTTGGAGAGAGCATTGCAATACCTTACATGAAGATTTTAAAGTTTATTTTTCCTTTTACCTTCGATAACAGAAATATTTATTGTTAAAATCCAGTTATTACCTTCATTTGTTTCTATATTGTTATTATTATTTTGTTCGTGTTACTTATCTTATATTTTCTTAAGTTCTCAATGAAAATTAACACTCACATCACTTTTATGTTAATAATGATGAGAAAATTAAAGAAAGAGTAAAAAGGGAGTTAGAATTTTCTATCGCTCCTCAGCAAGGGCCGAACACAAGTGCCTGACTGAGGTGATAGAGTAAACAAACAGAACATGCCACTCAGTCAGTGAGGAACCTACTGATGTTTGGATCAGATTTGAAGATTATTATGTTTTAATAATTCATACATAGGGTACAGAACCCAAAGGATTTTGTAAATCCCCAGCCTTAATGGAACTTTCTGTGTACTGGAAATCTGTATTTTGAGTACATTATGAAACTTACAACTCATTCGAGATTTAGTAACACTCGCTCACAAAGCTAGCCTCTTCACAGACTACTTGAAGTGTAATAGTCTAAATTTTTATCAAGTCAGGGGTAGGCTCACTAGCATTCTCTCCCAGATCTCTTATTTTCAGAGAGATGGAATTAAATATTCACTAATGATCTTGGTAAATCATAACCCTGAATTAGTAAAATCTCACCTTTACTTATGTCTGGTAAGTTTTTATATCTTTCTTTATATACCAAGTCAAATTCTGAAGAAAACGTGTCTCACTGGCTCATTCTGTACTTGTTGACATATGGTGTGGTTTGGGCCACTGCATAGGATACTGGGGAACAGAGGAACTAGCTATAAAAGGACTGTCCCTGGACCAATCACCTTTGGCTGTGGAAGGTCATATTTTACGTAACATAGCTTCTTACAGCAATAACTTATAAATGTGTACCAGGAATGATGATCACCATAATGACACAGTTGCCATTGGCTTCCAAATCACTACGTTCTCCCATCCTATGCCTATTTCACATCTACCCTTCCCCTGGAATTTCTTAGCCCATGCACTTTAATACTCCCTAGGACCTCATCTTTGCCTTTTGGATTAGTTGTGCCACTATTATATTGAGAAGAGAATTCTCAAGCCCATATGTCCAAGTGGTACTCCTCCTTTAATATTCAGCAAACGCTAACTTCATTCAGTAGCTAATTCAGTCTTTTTCTGCTGAAAGTCATATCTTTGATAAATAATGTATCTATTATTAGAACTATATTTCAAAGTTCCTACTGCACTCCTCCAGTTGGATGCCAACATATTCAGAAGTGAATTTATCTATCTCCAAATGTAATTTTAAATCCTGATTTTTTTTTTTTAGGCACTTGCCCAACACTGCTGTGAAAGGAAAAGACAAGGGTCATTTGTTCATCACTATGCTTCTCACTGTCTGGCACATAATACGTGTGAAATAAATCTTTGGAGATTAAGTAATCAAGAATAGTTCACTGTTACCTAGGCTAGACATTTGAGATTCAATCTCCTTTTGTCATTTGTTTTGTCACTAACCTTATTCAATATCAGCTGTGTTTGTCTTAGAGTTACTTCTCTAAAAATAATCCTCTCTAATCTTCATGCTATAGCTGTTTCTATACATTTGACTGAACTAATGAGAGAAGCTTAAGTGTTTTTCTTTTTTTCTCTCCACTCACTCCCCTCAATTCAGTCTCCATAGTAATGTAAGTTTATTTATCACTGTGATCTGAACAACTACCTATTCAGAAGTTTCGGATATCTGCTCTTTCATTGCATAATACTATGTTTTTCATAAATATCCCCTAAAAACACACTTGTCAAATGCTTTTTCTTACCCTATAGCTCAACTGGGAGGTGGTAGAATTTTTAGGAAGTGGTGCATTGTGGGAGGAAGTAAGGTCACTTGAGTAATGCCCTGAAAGTGGATATTGAGACACCAGGCCTTTCTTCTTTGCCTCTTGGCTGCCTTGAGGTGAGCAGTTTCCTTTGCCACACACTTCTGTCATGTGTGGCTACATGCCCAAAAGCAATGGAACCGGTCAATCACAGAATGAAAGTTCTGAAGCTGTGAGCCAAAATAAGCCTTCGTCCTGATAAATTGCATATCTCAAGTACTTTGTCCCATGGTGACAGAAAGCTTATAACATATGTAATAAACCCAAATTCTTTATCATGCCATTCAAAGTTGCTTCCAGCTCTATCTCCCATAACTATTCTTTCTCCTTAACATTTTATTATGTTCCAAGCACAACTGAATACTAAAAGCCTTCATGTGCACCCTTATGTGCAAAATTCTAATTCATTTTCAAGATCGACTTACATATTACCACTTCTATCAAGTCTTTATCATTTCCTCAGCCTTGTTTCATTTTTTCTTTGTGACCAAATTTTACTTCACACATAGCTCGTCAATAGCACATACCAAGAAACATTTTGTTTAAACATATGTCTTTCCTTCCAGCTAGATAACACCAGAGTTATCCCATATGTCTGAGTGTTCAGCGTTTAGCAGAAGACATTATAAAATATGCTAAACATTTGTGGGATGATTATGGTTGAAAGTAGCCACTAGAATTTATAAAAATTCATGTTTAAAAATGATAACAAACTTGTGAGATATAAGGAAATAAAGGAAGGACAAGAAAAAAGGAGGGGACAAGGGAGGGAGGGACAGATGGACAAGAGGGAAGGAAGACAGGCTCAAGGATAACGTGATGCTTATTTGCAGAACCTTTTCATAAAGTACTCTAAAGAAGTGAATACTGTTATAATATTATATTTTGACCAATTTCATTTATTTTTTCAGCTCAGAAAAAATCTACAGAATACCCATAAACATGTATACTTGAATTGGAAAAGACTGAAAACATAAGAGAACACATTGAAATCAGCATATATGAATACTCGTAAGATTCACTTTATGTGAAATTTTTCTATCAGGTGAATAAGATTCTTACTCTTCACAACATTGTATGATGCACCAAGGTGCATGATTCTCTAAATCGGAAAATGTTCCTTGATTTTTTTATTGGGTCAGAACTTTTCAAGAGCATAATTCTGAAATATTTAAATAAATATACATAAGGTTATATCACTCAAGCACTTTACAGAAGAATGAATAATTTTTCCCAAATATACAGAGTCCCCTTCAAAAATAAATTATCCTTCTTCACTAACATCAGAGACTGAGTCATTTTATTTACCTCTGTCAATGAGAAACGAAGTGATTCTTGTCAATTCATGTAGAAATTATGAATCAGAATCAGGTCCACTAAATTCTTATTTTATTTTATTACTACATGTTTGAGTACGTAAAGTTTACATTTACCTTAGACAGTAGGTATGCTTACTTAACATGTCTTGATTTTTAAAATTATTTTCCCTTCCCCATCATTCACACTCCCTCTGTCTCTAGATCCTCTTTCCTCACTTTCATTCTTCTTATTTTTTAGTTCATGTTTGCAACCTACAATGTTTACATTCATTTTGAGTATTTGATACATGCTCATGACACATCTTGAATCTTTTATGTATCCTTCCTTACCCTCTTACCTCACTGTCAGTCTCTTGGACCCCTTCCTATTTGCAAAAGGTCTATCTCCCTAAATTCCTTTTATATATTTTCATTTTTCTTTTTATTTCTGCTTTTCATTACTCAAATGAATCTATAGTATTTAAGCTTGTCTGTCTGATTTACTTCATTTAACATTATTTTCTAAGTGTATCCATTTACCTTCAGGTGTCTTGAATTTGTACTTCTTTATAGCCAAGTAGTATTCCATTAGGTACAGGCTTCACATTTTCTTTATCCATTTATCTGCTAATGGACATACAGGCTGCTTACAGGATTTTATGAATTGTGCTGCTATAAACATTGGTATGCATGTATTGTTGAAATACTGTGTCTTTGGCCCTTTAAGGAAGATATTTAGAAGGAGAATAGTGAGATGAAATGGAATTTCTATTTTTAGATCTTTTAAATCTCAATACTGATATCCGTAAGGGTTGACATGCCCATCAATGATGCAGAAGAGTTCCTTCTTCACTGCAGCCACACCAGCATTTGTTATTATTTGATTTATTTTGGTGTCAATTCTTTCTGTTATAAAATGAGATCTTAGTGATCTTTGAATTTGCATTTTTTTCTAATGACCAGAGATGTTTAATATTTTTTCCTATATTTATTGGCCATTTGTACCCTTCTCAGAAGTATTTATTCATTTCACTTGCCTATTTTTTGACTGAGTCTTTTACTGTGGGCCTCTAGTTTTTTGATTCTCTTTATATTCTAGACATTAGTCCTCTGTCTGAGGAATACCTAGCAATTTTCCTCATTCTGCAGGTTGTCTTTGCACTTTCTTGATTATGTAATTCTTTTCTTGTGCAGAAGCATTTTCATTTGATGAAATTCCATTTGTTGATTCTTACTGTTATTTTTTTCTGCAATTAGAGTTCTGTTCAGATAGTCCTTGCCTATATCTATGACTTCAATAGTTTTAATTTCCAGTAAGTTAGATGTCTCTCTTTTAATCTTTAGATCTTTGGTCCATTTTGATTTTAGTTTAGTGTATGCAGAGAGATATGGGACAACTTCAAACTTATGCATATGAATAGCCAGCTTTCCCAGAAACATTTGCTAAGTTAAGGTTATCTTTCTTCCAAAACAGATTTTAGGTCCACTGTTAAATATCAAATAATTGAATATGTCTGGGAATGTTTTTGCATCTGGTATTCTGTTTCACTCAACCACATATCTGTTTTTGTGTGAATACTATGCATCTTTATCACTGTAGCTTTGTAGTGTAACTTGAAGTCAGGTATTATGATTCCTCCTGCTTTGCTCTTGCTGCCCAGAATTACTTTTGCTACTTTGGGTCTTTTCTGGTTCCATATGAATTTTAGGACTCTTTTCTCTAGTTTTGTGAATAATGTTGTAGGTATTCTCATTAGGATTGCTCTAAATATATTTATCAGTTTTGGAAGTATAGCCATTTTTAAAATATTGGTTCTATCCATGAACAGGAGACAACTTTTCGTTTTTGGGAATCATTTTTGATTTCCTTTTTTCAGAGTACTGTGGTTTACATTGTGGAGATATTTTACTTCCATGGTTAGGTTAGTTCTTGATATTTAGTTTTTGTGAATGACATTGTTTTCCTACTTTCTCATTGAGTTTTTCATTGATGTACATAACTACAAGTGCTGATTTTTCCATCCTGCTACATTGTTAAAAGTGGTTATTGATTCTAAGAGTCTTTTGTTGGAATTATATGGGTCTTCTATATAGTGAATCATACTATCTACAAATAATGACAGTTTGATTTCTTCCTTCTCCATACATATAGCAGCTTTTTTTTCCTTTCTCTTCCTGTTGCTCTGACTAATGTTTCAAGTACTATGCTGAACGAAGTGGTGATAGTGACCATTCTTTTCTTCTTTGTGATTTTAGAGGGAAAGCTTCTAGTTTTTCCCCATGGAATACAATGTTTGGCATAGATTTGTCATGAATGCCATTTATCAGGTTCAAGTAAAATCTTTCTATACCTATTTTCTAGAGTTTTTTTTTAAAATCATGAATGAGTGTTGGATTTTGTCAAAAGCTTTTTCTGGATCCATTGAGATAATCATGTGGCTTTTGTCCTTGTTCTCTTTACATGGTGTATTATATTCATTTATTTGTACATGTTGAACTATCCTTGCAACTCTGGGATGAAATCTATTTGGTCATGATATATGATCTCTTTGAGGATGTGTTGCATTCTATTTGCCAATATCTTATTGCAGAGTTTTATAGATATATGTTCATTAGGGAGATTGGCCTCTAGTTTTCCTTTTTCATTTGAGTCTCTGTCTGGTTTTGGAATCAGAGAGATGCTGGATTCCAGAAATGAGCTTAGAAGCACTGCTTCTCTTTCAATTTCATTGAAGAATTCGAGAAGTATTGGTATTATAACATCTTTAAATGTTTTGTAGAATTCAGCACTGAATCCATCAGGTCCTTGACTATACTTAGTTGGCAGGGGATTTTGTTTTGTTTGGTTTTGTTTTACTGCCTCAATTTCATTGCTTGTTACTTGCTTGTTCAGAATTTTTATGTATTCTTGGTTTAGTTTTGGTAATTTGTGTGAGTCTAGGAATCTGTCCATTTCTTCAATTATTTCCAATTTGTTGGAATACAATTTTCCACAGTAACTAGTGACTACACTCTAGATTTTGATGATGTCCATTGTGATTTCAATTTTTTTTATTTCTAGTTGCATTGATGTGAGTATTTTCTCTCCTTCTTTAGGTACATTTGGCTTATTTGGTACATTTGGGTTTATCTACTTTGTGTAGCCTTCCAAAGAAACAGCTCTTGATTTGTTGATTTTTTATTGATATTTTAGTCTCAATTCCATTAATTTCTGCTTTGATCTTTGTGATTTTCCTCCCCAAATTCAGTTTGGGTTTAAATTGCTTTTCAAATATCTTGAGGTTCATCTTTAGATTATGTAACTTCATTCTATTTTTCTAATAGGAGTATTGATTGCAATTAAATTTCCTCTCAATACTGCATTCATTGTGTCCCATAGGTTCTGGAGAATTGTCCTGGCATCACCATTTGATTCCTAAAATTGTTTAATTTCTTCCTTGATTTCTTCTGTGACCCACTGGGTGTTCAGGTGAATTAAGTTTCCAGATGTTTCTAAATTTTCTGTGGCTTATTCTGTGATTGATTTCTAGTTTCATTGCACAGTGGTCTGAGAGTAAACATTCACTGGTTTTAATTCTTTTGTATTTATTTTAACAGATTTTGTGGACTATAGTTCTATTGTGGAGAAAGTTCAATGTGCTGCTGAGGAGAATATGTATTCTATTGTAGGGGTGTGGAACACACGGAAGACATCTATTAAGTCCATTTGTTCAAAGGTGTGGTTCATCTCGGATATTACTTCATTGAATATATCTTTAGTTGATCTGCCTCTTTTTGAAAGCGTAGCATCAAGGTTACACACTATAACTGTGTAGAGGTTTATTTGATCTTTTATGTCCAGCAGTATTTGTTTAATGTAGCTAGGTGTTACAGTATTTGATGCATATATATATTTGTAAGTGTTATATCTTCCTGTGAGATTGTTCCCTTCATTAGTCTGTAGTGATCTTTATCTCTTCTCATCAGTTTTAGCTTGAAGTTTTTTTGTGTGTGAGAGTAAGATTGCTACCCTTATAGTTTTTGGCTTCCTGGCACCTAAAATATTGTTTTGCATCCTTTCATATTTAGTCTACAAATATTATTTTGGATTAGATGAGTTTTGTGATTGCAACAGACTATTGCATTCTGGTTTTTGACCCTGACGATGTGTGTCTTTTAATTGTACCTTTAACATTGAGAATTATTACCAAAAGGTATGGATTTTTTCCCAACTGTGGATTCTCTTTCTGTTGATGATGATTTTTCTTTTCTTTCTGTTGTTTATCTATTCAATTTGCTTGGTGTATTCAGTCCACCTGGACTTTTGGCTTTGCTGGCTTCATTGTCTCTGTTTAGGATATTCTTGAGCATTTTCTAGAGTGCTGGTTTGTTTTCACATATCTCTTGTTGTTTTCTTATAAAATGTCTTCATATCCTCCATCTATTTTGAAAGAAAGTTTTGCCAGATATATTAAACTGGGTTGAAAGAAGTTCAGTTTTACAGATTAAATATTTCACTCCAAATCAAAAACCTCATCCATGAAAACTATAGCAATCTGAAAAGAGAGATTGAAGATGATATCAGAAAATGGAAAGGCATCCCTTGCTCCCAGAGAGGAAGGGCCAACATAGTGAAAATGGCCATACTTCCAAAACTACTAAATGGATTCAATGCAATCCCAATTGAGATCCCAGCAGCATATTTCATGGACCTTGAGAAAACACTCCAAAAATTCATTTGGAACAAGAAGAGACCCAGAATAGCAAA